GGGGCAGCAGGGATGTTGTGTTTGAGTGAGGGCAGCTGGGAGGGGATTTGGGGACACTTAGAGGGCTGCTTGGGAGGAGGCCCTTGGGGGCTTCTAGGGTGGCTGAAGTCTTGGATTGGGGGCATTTTGGGACTCATCAAGGAGAAGTGTAGTGGGGGGGCTTGGGGTGAATGGAAGTGGCTGTTGGGGTGGGGTCATGGGGGCATTTGGGGAAAGATAGGGGTGAGGGGGCAGTTGGGGGAGCCTGGGGACTTGGGGGTGTGGTGTTGGGAGATTATGAGGGGCTGTTCCTTGGGGAAACTGGAAAGCACCGAAGGCTGTTTAGGGGTGTGGGGGCATTTGGGAGGGAGTCACAAAGCTGTTGGGAGGATGTTTGGGGCTTATTTGGGGGGGGGGGGGGGGGGCTGGGAGCTGCGGGTCACTGGAGGCTCGTTGTGGCATCTGGGGGTACTGAGTGGACACTTGAGTCGGAAGGCCTGGGGACATCAGAAGGGCTGCTTGAGAGGGTGGCTCATAGCAAGACCAGAGGTGTGGGGTGGCCCAAGGTGTTTGTGGGGAGTCTGGGGACGTTTAGGGGCAGCTTTTGTGGTATCTTGAAGGGGGGAGATAAATCTTGGGAGGCAACCTGAGTGGGGAAGAATGAGAACAGGGGTGAGACGGAGAAGGGGGAGAACATGGAATGGAGCACCGTGGGGTGGGTGATGGGGATGGGGCAATTCAGGCAGGTGGAGGGAAACCTCGTGAGTGTGCTGGGGAGAGAAGAGAGCTGAGCTGGAGACGCTCTGGGCACAGGAAGCTTTGGAGAGCAGGGAGGTGAATAACTGTGATAGGACTGCGTGTTCTGCACCGGAGGTGAGGCCAGCAGTGAGCCTCGTCTGTGGGCGTTGGGCACAAATAGCCCTTGTTACAAATCGCCGTTTACTTCTGGGTCACCTGTGACACACGGCTTTCCTGTCAGCCTTCCTCTGCTCTCAGCCCTTCTAAGAGCAGCCGTGACTACAGGGAGGAAACGTGTGGAGTTTGATGGGTGTGGGTGAGCGTGGTGGGAGTGCAGGTCAGCAGGGGAGCTGGGCTGTGGGGAAATGACGTGTAGGAGGAGCAGCGCCCCTCACAGCATGCTGTGTTGTTGCAGGAGTGCCGGATCGCACATCCCATCGTTAAATGCACCTACTGCAGGACTGAATTCCAGCAGGAGAGGTAAATGACCGGCGTGCTGAGCAGGCTGATGTTTTCCCTAGGACAGATGCACCTGGCGAACCGTAATGTTCCCACACCTTGGATGGCTGAGCCTGGTTGTTGTTGTGGGAGACCTTTGGCCTTAAACGTCTGCTGGGCGAGCCAGTGTGCCTGTGCAGCGTGCTTACATGTGCACCTATCGCTTGTTCTTTGGTTTGGTCAGCACTCGCCAGCAGCTTCCAGTAAAGGATCCGGGGAGGATCTTCCCATGAGTTTTCTGCTACCTGATTCTGGTGTCTAAAAATGGTTTGATGCACTTCCTGTAGCTGCAGTTCTACCTTTTGTGAGTTGTGTGGATTGCAGAGGGAGGAGAGGTGAACCCGGGAGCTGACGAGCATAACTTGTGCAGACACAGCGTGGGGTGTTCTTTCCTGTGTTTGTTGGACAAATATACCTCTGTGCCTGACCTGCCTTAACCCTGTAATCGAGCACAGACCTCCTCCAGAAGTGAGGCTGTCACTGTGCTGAATCATGCCTGCTGCCAATTAGCCAGTGATCAGACGCCCGCGTTTGGCAGGACGAAAAAACTGGCGTCATTTGGGGATGCCTTAATTAAAAGATACCTCCTAGTAAAACTGCTTTTGGCCAAGTATCCTCAACCAGATGGGAAGAGGAAATGCACTTTGGTGTCAGGGTCCATAGTGAAGATGAATGCAGTCTTGCCACTAGAGACAGAGCCTGGGGGAGCCTGGGATCCTGACCACAGAGGTGTAGTTTTCTCTGGGGAGGCGTTAATGACCCGGTCTGTCCTTCTTCACAGCAAAACCAACACAATATGCAAGAAGTGTGCTCAGAACGTGAAGCTCTATGGCACAGTAAGTGAGTGGGGCTCGTTCTCAGCCTCTTTCTCCTTTCATCTTTCTTGCCTTTATCCTGCTGAGTCCCAAAGCAGTTTATGGGCTGCCTCGGTTGTAATAGCATGGTTGATCAATCATATGCAGGTCTCTTTTCCCTTTTCTTTTGGTATGAAAAAGAGCAGCTCCACATCATCTTAGGTCAGGAAATGAGCCATTCTGTATCGAATTGAAACAACAATGCAGTCGTACAAACTCAGGTTGCTTACTGGAAGCAGTGATAAATCTGTTTTCCTGCTTGTGTGAAATCCGAAGCAGAGATTTGGATTGTTCCTGTTTTGGTGATAAATATTCCTGAAGGTTTCCTAACACTTGATCAAGGCTTTTGTGCCTGAATAAACTTGGCTGGAGACCAGGGGGCCAAACGTAGTCACGTCTGCTGGATAGTTAGCTTCTATAGGGAAACAGATGTTTAGGAGTGCTGGGGGGAAGGGGAAAAAGCAATGCTCTGATGTCATCAGGAGGCACTGCCATCTTCACCTCTCTTGTTCCTTTAAGCCAAAACCTTGCCAGTACTGCAACATCATCGCAGCGTTCATTGGCAACAAGTGTCAGCGCTGCACAAACTCAGAGAAGAAGTATGGACCTCCCCACTCCTGTGAGCAGTGCAAGCAGCAGTGTGCCTTCGACAGGAAGGATGACAGAAAGAAGGTCAGTATCTGTTAAAAGGCTGAAAAGGCAGAGGGGCTGATCGCAGTGGCTCTACCTTCCTCTCACAGATCTTGAGTGTTTCTTTAGGGGATGCCTCTTGACTGTAAAATAGTTTTTGCAGTTGCATTTTGCTTTGGGAGCCGTATTTTGGAGCTGTTTAGCCTTTGTGCCCTTTGCTCCTTTGCCAGATCTTTTGAGAAAGATCTCTTGAATTTGGCATGAGGGCAGGTGAGGGAGCAAAGGAGGTGGGGCCTCTGAGGTGCCTGCAGGGGGAGGGATGGGAGCAGTACTGGTGCTGCAGCCTGAGGTGCTGGAAACGTGTTCCTCCACAGCTGTCCCTTAGCTCCTGCACATCCTTTATTTAAATAACATCAGAGCTTCTTACTTGCGTATTTCTAAAGCCTGCTTTCTGCAGGCTATAAAGATCTATTGTCTGTTTGGAATCCTGTCCTCCTGCTGATCCTCCTTGAGCAGAAACTGTGGCTCTTGTGCTCTCCAGCGACTGCCCTGTCATCTGCCAGTCCTTGGCTTTCCTTTGACACAAATCTCAGTGGAATTGGCCTGTTCCAATGATGTCCTGGGTGTTAAAAAAGTCTGTAAGCAGAGCTGGAAAGAGACTGGAGTTAGGATGAGTTAGCTGCTGTTAGTGAGTGCCTTGCACCAGCCATGCCAAGTGGTTTTCTAAGCACTCAAGGGATCCTTTTTGAATTGCTGCTCGTTTGTATGTCGTCTTAAAGCCTGAAGGTGCTTCTTGTCTTCTCTGCTTTGTTTGTGGGCAGGAAGCAAGACAAAAATGTCTCTCTTTCATGCCCTCCAGGTGGATGGAAAGCTGCTCTGCTGGTTATGCACACTGTCCTACAAACGGGTCCTACAGAAGACCAAAGAGCAGTGCAAGCACCTGAGCAGCTCCTCCCGAGCCAGCCTGCAAGAGAAGGAGCAGTACAGCAGGCTGAGCAGCGGCAGCCATTACAACAGGTAGCCTGCACAGGCCGCTCTGTCGTGCAGGGCTGAGCAAAGGGGTGAGCAAAGAGAAGCCAGGCTGCTGCACTCAGCTGCCAGGAACGTGGAGCAGCAAGCACTGCTCTTGTTGGCTGAAGGCAGCTCAGCCAGCCTCTCTCCTTCGCGGCTGCTTGTCGTGCTGCAGACTTGTGATCTTGTGATCAGACTTGGGGCAGTTCGTAGTGATTCTTCTTCCTGGACTTGTCTGCAGTTAAAGCTGAGTTGGGTCTGTAAAATCTGATGATTGAAATACGGATTTGAAGCACGAGTTCCTCACTGCTGCTGATTGGGCTGACACGTTGCTTTCTGGTTAGTTTCAGTCTCCAGCTGCTCTTCGAGGAGAGAATTTTTATTGTTCTTTGTTGCACGAAGAAACCTCGTTTTAATAGGCTGGAAGGGGGTGGGAATGTGTATTTGCTCCTCTGTCTCTGACTTGAAGTCATTCAGGCTTTGACATACAATTTCCTTGTTTTTCCAGCCAGAAAACCTTATCCACCTCTTCTATTCAGAATGAAATCCCAAAGAAGAAAGCCAAGTTTGATGCCATATCTGCCAATGGTGACAGGTGAGCCTGCTGTCTGGGGAAATTCGGGGTGGGTGGGTGGTCTTGCTTGTTAAGTTTTATATAAGAGTTCTGTGTGAACAGTGGGAAACTTGATGCTTAGAGCAGGGATCTTGGGCTCTGGGACCTCGAGGGGCTGCTTTAGCAGCTTCCAGAATCCGACAGGCCAGCGTTAGTGAGCACTTAGCTTTGGAAAGGAAAATAACCCTGGTGCCTGTACCTGTTAGAACAGAAGCTGCTTGTTGGCTGAGCTCCCCAGCAGTTACAAAAACTGCAACCCGATCGACTGTATCCTCCCTGTGCAGCTGCAGGGGAAGGCTGGCTGTTGGCTGCACTGAGCAGGGAGCTGTGTGGTTTTTGTGCTTTCTGGGCTCTCAGACCAACCTACAGGAGATGGCCTCAGAGGAGAGGATCAGAGCCCACCTCCAACTTCCCCTCCTGCCTTCTGGGGGTGGGACAAGCAATCAGGCTTTGCTCAAAAGCAGCCAGTCCCATTCTGCTGTCACAGTCGATGCTGTCTTTTCTGGCTGCAGCAGAACGGGAAGCTCTAGCAAAAACAGGAAATTGAGGTGGATTTTATTTTTTTTATGCTCTTGTACATGCATATTTTCATTCCTCCCTTTCCTCTCTGATTCTCAGCGTTCCTTCCTCTCCCGAGACGCTTTGCCCCCCTATCCAGAGTGCCCCGTCCACGTTGGCGCAGTGGGCTGCTTCCCAACAGAGTCTCGGTGCCCACCATTGTCCTGTTTCTCAAGGCACTGACATCCTGAAGTGAGATCACCTGTTGTTTTCTCCCCCTCTTTTGCCCTCCCTCCCTGGGAACTGTCTCACGTGGAACCTTTCCCTCTCCATGGATCTGCTTCCAAACAGCAGTGAGATGGGAGCGTGGTGCAGGCTTCTCAGTGCCCAGGGGTCTGTTAAACCGCTGGTAACTGGAGGTCTTTTCTTCACAGTCACACATCACATCTCTCCTGGAGACACTGCTGATGTCCAGTCAATGTTTGTTGATGTACAGAATGCTGTTATGTGAAATAGAGTAGTTTTATAAGGCAGTGGTTCCCACAGAGCGGCCTGTGAGACCGTTCCTCACCTGCACAGAATTTTCAGTTCAAAGTTGGAAAAAAATCAGACTTCACTGTGGCTTAGGAGCTCCAGTTGAGCATGAGGTGTTCAGAGGATTCAGCTGACTGCTTTTAATGTGGTGGAGCTGGAGGAGAGACTGGAGCCAGATCTGTGCAGCAAGGTGTGGCCATCAGGACTGCTTTCCCTCTGGAGCCCTGTTGGCCCCCTGCTCCCTCCTGAGGCTGCAATCCGGGCTGTGGGACAGGACCAGGTGATTTCACCTGCTTGCTAAAGCCTGGGGTGAGACAAATCCACCTCTGGCTTGAGAACATCCAAGTCCTGTGCTCTGTCATCAGTTGCTCAGTCACTTGTGTGCAGTCAGGAGCGTGCATTAGAAGAATCAAATGCCTTTATTTCTATTTGCTTGTGTCAGATGCTGGCAGCGTGGCTGCGCTCCTTGCCACAAACTTTTTTTGATACAGTAACAAACTGTGTGTAATTTTAGCAGCTCCTAAAGAGCTCCAGCAACGTGCTGTGGAAAATGCTGCAGCTGCCTGAAATAGATCCATGGCTGGATTTCTTGAGAGGAATAATAATGGTGCTTCAGTGCATTTGTGGAGCTGCAGAGGACGAAGCCCCCGGCAGCCCCCATCCCTGCACCATTTTCTGTGAGGGTTTCCACCCCTCAGCCCTCCTGGAGCTGCAGGCTGGGTGTGGAGCTTGGAGCTGGCTGTGTTAACAGCACCTCTCCCTGCTGCACCTTTCTTCCAGTCTCAGCTTCTGGCCCCAGCCAAACTTGGGCAGCCTTCAGCCAGGCAAAATGTGGGCACACCTGGGCTCTTTCCTATGGTGATGCCCTCAGCAAGGTCCAGCTTACCCCAAATTGTTGCTCCTTCATGGATGCAATGGGAATTTCTGTCCTGTGTCCTGCTGAACTGCCTCTGAGCTCTGTGTTCTCATGTTGCTGAGCAGAGGATGCTCTCAGTGCCTGCGTTCAGGGGGCTGAGCTTTTTCCAGCAGTCGTTTAACGAGCAGCTTTGTGTGATTCTGGGTGGGCTCTGAGAGGAGCCCTGCCTCACGCACAGCAGTGTTTCCCCAGCAGCAGCTTTGGGTGCAGCTCCCAGCAGATCCTGCCTTGCAGACCTCTGCACAATCATCGTGCTGGATCCTGAATGGACTTTTGAGAACTGAGAGTATTTTTGTCACAGGTGATGTTTGGATGCTGCTTCGGTCAGCTTGCATTGTGCCCCTTGAATAGCACAACCTTTAAGCTTGGCATTTATTTTGCCTAATTTCATTCATTTAGCAGGTGTTGAGTGTGAGGCAGCCAGTTTGCATTCTGTTCCACTCAATGGAAAGAGGCAGGTGCCGTTGGAAGGGCTCCATTTTTAACTGCATCTCCAACGAAAGCAATGGGAGCTCATCAATTTGCTTTAATTAGAGGCGTGAATTTTAGGCTGCTCACACGTGGAGGGCACACAGCCATCCCTCTGGCCTCTCCCAAAGGGCTGCAACCCCGGTGATGGAGTTTAGCTATAGAGAGAATGTGCTTGGGCTCTGTTAGTTGATTTAATTTTTAATCTGAGAGCTAAAAGAGGGGAGAGAGGTGCTTCTGGCCTTTTAACTCCTGCTCTGCAGGAGGCTGGTGGCCTTCCTGTCCCTTCTCTCCACTGGGTGGCAGGGCCACTCTCCCTCCGTGGCTCCTGCAATAGAAGCTGCCCGGAACAAACTGTTCCTGCCTGAGCTGCTCAGGGAAACGTGAGCATCTCCCAACTCTCTGCATCACCCCGGGCCACGGCAGCAGGGAGGCTTGCCTGGGCAAAGGGTTGGTGCAAGCCAGAGTTTGTTTGGGGCCAGAAGAATTCAGTGAGGATGAGTTGAGGGCAGCCTCTGTGCAGGCTGCTTTTTTCGTTTGTTTTTTTTTCCTTCCCCTCCTTTTTCTTCTCCCTTTGCACTGAGGACATGAAAGCTGTTAGAAAGGCACTGCAGCACCCACATCATGCTGCAGAGCTCTGCTTTCAGGGAGCTGCACTCAGGTGTGGTTTCGGAACAGAGGTGCAGCCTGCACGAAGGGACACCTGCATTCAGGAGCTGCAGTGTGACAAAGCCAGAGACCTGCAGCATCCTCATGGAGCACACTGCTGGCAGCATGCTGCAGCTGTGCAAAGCAAGCTGTCTTCTGCAGACAGCTCCCCCCAGCTCTGGCTTTCCCTTTGCCAAGCTTCCTCTCAGAGCTGCAGGGCTGACCCGTAGCTTTCAGGTGGGTGAAGCTGCTGCCCATGCTGGGTTCCCCTCTGTAAACCCCCTGCGCAGAGATTTTCTGCTACATTCTTGCTTTCCAATCCAATCAGCCCAGGCTGTGCTTTTGATTGGAAAACGGATTCTTTCCAGCCTCTGTGCAAGTAGCCAGTGCTGCATCCTGCTGTGCAGCTGGGGGCTGGGAGCCTGGAGAGGCAGAGCTGGGGGAGCTGCGTTTGCCTTCAGACCCGCAGTGCCCCCCTGCAGGCACTGCAGCTCCCAGTGGTAGTGCTGAGCAGGAGCTTCAGGACGGCTGTTGATCTGCTCTGGAGGTGTGCAGAAAATGTCAGCGTTCAGGTGTTCAGGTATCTGGGGCTGTTTGCAGCTGCCTGACAGCAGGCAGACTTCAGGTCACCTTTGAGGTGGAACCTTGTTGTCGCTTTTATTGCTGGTACGTTTTTATACGCAGCAATTTGGAGCGTGTGGGGCTGGGAGCGTGCTGCCCTTTTAGCACCACGAGATAAAAATCCAGCTTACCCTTACAGCAGTGGGGAACAAAAGGCAGCCAAAGATCAGGTGAGCTCTCTGGGCCTGTGGCTGCAGCTGATCATATCTCGTGTTCCGAAATGCAGCTGTAGTGCGGCGCTGTGGATGGCTGCCCTGATTGCTGGGTGTCTGACAGGGAGATGTGTGGATTACCTTTGCAGGGTGATTTGCATCCAGATGGCTTTTCAGCTGTTGCTTAAGTTTAGCCTAGGCTGTTTCTGAGCAGGTCCTCAGCTATTTCTGTCTTCCTGGCGAGAGTCCTTGCTGCTCTGCAGTGGTAACAAAGCTTCTCCCTACATTCTGTATCACGGAGGAATCAAAATACAAAAGTCCAGTGTGTCTTCTTCCCCTTTTCCCCGCTGAGGACAGCGCTGACTTTCATCTAGGTGTCTGTTTTGGCTTTGTTTGTTTAACTTGGAGGTTGTTTGTTTCTCTTTCTTGTTCCCTCCTTGCCAACGTGTTTGTTTACATGGAGTGAAAAGTTTTGCTGGACATCCAAGGACTGCCTGCGAGCAAAGAGAGTTCCTGAGTGGTTACGTAAAGTGTCATGAGCTCTCTGATTGCTGTCCTCAGCTCTTTGGTTTGAAAATAGATCACTGCCATTTGAATGCTGCAGATGCCAACTGATGTGCACCCGTAGCAGCCCTGTGTCCCCGCTGATTGGGCACGAATACAACTCGGTTTATCACACTGCTGCCCAGTTTTGTGTGTGCTCCCCACATTCCCTGTGGCGTTCAGGGCAGGGGTGCAGGTAACGCTCCAGACCTTGCAGGGTGCAGTGCATGTCCTGGAGCAGCTCCCTGTCTTCTTTGGGTGCCATCTGTGTGGGGATTCCTCCACCTCGGTGCCCAGAAGGGGTTGTGATGAGAGCCATTCCTGTTCTCTGCTGCAGTTTCTCCCCGGACCTCGCCCTGGACTCTCCTGGCACCGACCACTTCGTTATCATTGCCCAGCTGAAGGAGGAGGTGGCCACCTTGAAGAAGATGCTGCACCAGAAAGATCAGATGATTTTGGAGAAGGAGAAGAAGGTACAGCCCTTGGCTTGCTTCCCCCACGCCCAGCATGCTGGCAGCTGGCACATCACACACATCACACTCAAACCAAGTCTGGCTTTTCATACTGTGGTCAGCAGAAGGCTTTCTGGCTGCTTCCAGGCCGCCCCCTTTCCAAAGTTGAAGAGGCTTTCAGGACCCACCTGGGGGAAACTCATTTCAGAAAGGGCCATTTTCCACCCACTCTCTCATACCTCCATGGGGGGGCAAGTCCCAGAGAGCACCTACAGCTCTGTGCGGAGCGAGAGCAGCCCCCAGGGTGCTCCTGCTGCTCTGTGCAGCTCTGTGATGCAGTGTTGCTCCTGTTGCCTTCCCCCTCCTGCATCGGTGTGTTTCCAAACTCATTTGGTCTCGGGCAACTTCTCTAGAGGCACTTTTCTGTGGCACGTGGGGTGAGAGCAGCTGCTTCTTCCCTCTCATGCTCTCTTTGTTGGTGTGTCTGCAGATCACGGAGCTGAAGGCTGACTTGCAGTACCAGGAGTCACAGATGAGAGCAAAGATGAACCAAATGGAGAAGACTCACAAGGAGGTCATGGAGCAGTTACAGGTGACAGCATTTTTGTTTTAATTTGCTGAGCTGTGCTGCACCCAGGAGTGACTGAGGACACTCCTATGGGAACAAACCATGAACCTTGGCACGCACAGCTCTGCTCGTGCTCCTCAGCCCTGTCCTCCAGCCTCTGCTCTGCCTGGCAAGCCGTCCCCCAGCTCTGTGCCAGGCTGCAGTGCCTTGCACCCCCTATTCCATCCTTCTTGCTCTACTTGGGCTCAGCCTCACTGCACTGTGAAGCGCTGCCTCGTGTCCCCCACGGGCTACATGGGAGCTGTCAAACTCCTTTGACTTATTGCCAAAAGCAGGTTTAAACCTGTTCCTCCAGACCGGAGAACCTTTGTCAGCTCCTCACACCACGTAGCTCTCGGTGTGATTGATGGGCCCAGTAACCAAAGGGAACAAAGATCAAGAAACAACTGGCTGTTTCTTCAGTGCTGTATCTGTAGTCCAAATAAAGAAGTCCCTGAGCTGGAGGGAACAGGGAGAGCAGGATTCTTGTCACGGCCGTGGAAAGGCCAGGCAGACTATCAGCATGAATACCCTGCACTGAGGAGACGGGGTCAAAGGGGAGCTGGTTATGGGGAAGAAGGCAGACTTAGAAATGAACTTTGCACCCCTTTAATTACCCCAGGGTTTACAGTGATCGAAAGCCCTCGCAATGAGGGGTGGGAGGGGATGAGACAACAGCCTTATGCTCCTGCCTCCCCTCCTCCGTCAGCACACACCCAAGTTAATGATTGCAGAAGATGACGGGTTGTGGAGGCTGCAGTTTTTGTCAGAAAGGCGTCCATCACAGCCACCCTGCGGAGCAGTGGAAGCCTGTGTGAAGCTGGGCTGTCTGATGGTGTGCAGGGGGTGGGTTGTGCCTCAGGGACTGATGGCAGCCAAAGCCTTGGGTCTGTGTTCTGCTTCCACGATCCTGCACTGCCCGCTTCAGCCTAGAGCTGCTCCTATCTCAGGCCTTTGGGCGGCCTGCGAAGGACGACCTGCTGTTCTGAGCAGACCCTTTTCCCCTGGCTCAAACCCCCACGTTCTGATTGCCTCCCCAGCTGGGAGGTGGCCTCCATCCTTGCAGTGGTTTCCCAAGACAGGGCAGCCCGGTCACTGTGTGTATGGGAGGAGTCTGTCTGTCATGAAAGCTGTCAGACACCTGCCAGCAGCTTTAAACTTGCTCAGTTCTGAACAGAAAGAGGAAGCATCAGATCCACAAGTGGGTTTGCCACCCTGCTCTGCTGGGTGCGTGTCCCCATGGTGCTGGCCTGTCCTTACTTGGTGCTCCCACCTCCTCCTTTCTGCTGTCTGAATGTTCTACTTCAGCTGCTATTGACTGAGGCTCTGGAAACTTTCCTCACTGATTCCAAAATAAAAGTTCGAATCATCTTGGTGTGCTGTAGGTGCCTCAAAGTGTTCGAATCATTCGCTTTCTGAATGTGCTCCTGGTTTATTTTTCATGGGGAGGGGGGGGGGGAAGCAGGGGGTCTGTGTCCTTCCAGTATGTAGGAGGCAAAAGAAGCTGCTTTACCACGTGCAGCACTGGAGCTGAGGGTTTAATTGCTGTAATGATGTTTGCACGTCCAGCCATTCGCTGCAAACCAGTGCAGAAAGGCCATACCTGGTTTTTGCATGGCTTCTCCCCTTGTCCTGCTGAAATTACTGTATAGGCTGCAGGGGAGTGAGCTCAGGAGTTTGGTCAGAGAGGCTGAAGAGTCTTGCTTGTAAGTTGCCATCATTTTTATTTTGTTTCAAATGAGGCAGGGTCGTGTTTTGGTGCTCTGATGTGTTCAGGAGGTTCTCGTGGGGATGCGGCCAGCGCAGCGCCGAGTCCTGGTGGAACATTGGCAGCATCTGAGGGTGAAGTGAAGCTGGAGAGCAGAGCGAGCTCTTCCTCCTCGCCCTCTGATGTGGGTGAGAGACAGGAGACGTTTGCCTTTGACTGAGATGGGAGCTTGAGTCACTGGTGCTTTTCTGCACCACCTCTTGCGGTGCCTGATGGAAAGGGAAGGAAGGAAGGGAAGGCAGCCCTGCTGCCCTTGCCGCGTGTCCTTGGCTGGCTCCCTGTGTTTGGCACCTCGCTCTGTGGAAGCTGTCGAGGTCCAGCCCACGTCTCAGTTACAGCAGGGGGATGTGAGGGGGGTGGGCAGAGCCCTTGCTGAGCGCAGCAGGGAGGTTCTGTGCTGTGGTGCCGCACAGCAGCGCCTCGCTGCTTCCCCCCCTGCCAGCACTTCTGTCCAGGCCTCGCTGGACCCCGAGAGCTGATGGCGATCCCTTCCATTAAATTCCCATTTTCACTGTGTTTTCAGGCCAAGAACAGAGAACTCCTGAAGCAAGCAGCTGCCCTATCCAAGGGCAAAAAACCTGAGAAGTCGGGAGCAATAACCTCCCCTTAAAACCAAACCCCCAGTGTGGGAGCTTTCCCCAGCATTAGCCAAGGAGTCTAGGAGGCCTGCCCGACCGCTGGAAGCCAAAACCTCCGTGCTGTCACTATCCCACTGCTGTGGACTCGGTGGAAACGCCTGGGCTGTGTTGCCTTTCGACAGCATGCTTGAGTGTGTCTGGTCTCTGAACTCTGTTCTGTCTCATGGCGCTCCGTGGGAGAGGTCCCAGCACCCCAAAGCCCCGAAGCTCCGCTGACTGGAAGGACTGAGCAGCTGCTACCACTGCCAACTCTTTGTATTAGCAAACAGGAACCTGCTGCATTACAGACTGCTTGCTGGTTTCAGACCTGCTGCTGTGAGGCAATAGCCATGGCCAGTCGTCCTGCAGATGAGGCGGGAGCTGTGAGGTGGGGGCTTCGTTCCTCTGGACTGTTCCCTCTCGGAAAGGAAGCCGATGCATCACCAGCCCAGCAGCTGTTCTGGAAAGCTGCGCCACTGCTGGGAACGGTTCGTCCATCCTTTGAGAAGGCTTCCAAGATGGGGGCTGTGTATTTATCTGGGAGGGTTGGGGGGGGGGGGTTGTGTGTTTTTTCTTTTTTTTTTCCCCCCCCTCTTTTATTTTTCCGACGTCAGCTTGACAAACTTCACCGCTTGGTTTCGGTTTTGGTGACGACAGCTTTTGGGTTATGAGCCAGAGGGGAGCAGTGCCTCCCCAGAGCCGCTTCGTCCCCCTGCGCCCCGCTCACTTGGTGGCCTCTGGGCCTCGGTGTGACGGAGCATCGACTCCATCTCTTTACATCAGCACGATTCGAGGCTTGGCCGCGTCCTGCTCTCCCTCAGACCCGGCACTGGGTTCGCCCTGCCCCTCCGCTCCCTTCCAGATGCAGGGGCCAGGAAAAGTGCTTACAGAGGCAGCGTCCCAAGCCAGCAAGCGTTGCTCGGGGCTCCGCGGGGACGTTTCTCACTGCCAACTCAAAGCCAGCAGGATGAAAGAGCTTCGAAAGCTCCCCGTGCTCCTCAGCAACGGGACGAGAGGAGCCCGCAGCCCCTTCTGCTGAGCCTGGGGGGGGCGGGCGCTGCCCGGGCGCCTCGGGGGGGCACAGAAGCGCCTGGCGCTGGGAGGAAGCGGCGTTTTGCTCCGTGCTGAAGAAGCGGCTCGGGGCGGAGGGGGGGATGAGCGCTTAGTGTGGAGCAGCGCCGAGGGTCGGTAGTGAAAAGGAGAAGCTGCCCTCCGAGGCGGGGCTGCTCGCTCTGCTGGGCTTTTTATCCAGCTTTTAACTTTGTGATAGGGGGGGTTTGGGGAGGGGGGGGGGGGGGTTGTTTTTCCTGCTTTTTTGTTGTTACTAAAGCTGACTTGACTTAAAGGCACTTTTGGATGATGTTGGCTTCCGGCATGGAAGGAGCACGCGCTGCAGCATCACACACTGCCGCATCTTTCGGGTTTTGTTCTCTTTTTCTTTTCTAAGAGGTTTCTGATGTGAGGGAAAGGGAAGAAAAAAAAAGAAAAAAGAAAAAAAAAAGGGTTGTAATGCTTTGCCAGAGTGCAACAGCTGGAAAATCCTCACCTGATTTTATACTTCACACGTTTTTAGACAATGAGGTGCATGGGTGGGATTCTTTTTAAACGGGGGCTCTGCTTTTTTGTCTGCTTCCCTCCCCAAACAGAGCCACGGAGGGGGGAGGGATGGAGGCCCTGCGGACACTATGGAGGTTTTCTGTTGTTTTGTTTTTTTAATGGTGACAAAAACAAAAACCAAACCCACCACCAAACAGGTTGAGTAGCGGCTGATTTGTAGTAACAGCATCGTTTCCTTTGTATGTTTGTAATAACGGAGATTTTAAAAAGGGATGCTTTGATTTGTACCAAACTCTGACAAATGTTAAAGCCTTTTCCAAAATGCTCAGAGCTGCGTGTCCATTGCTTTGCTCTTTGCCTTGAAGCACAGCTCCATCATCCCCTGCAGGCTGAGGTTCAGCCCCGCGCCTCCAGGCTTTGGGTGCCTGGGAAGGAGATGCTGCTCTCCATTGTTTGCTCCTCTCCTACTTTTGTTTCTATCTTTAAATCCCACTCAGGGCTGTTGCTAGGATCCGCGTTACTTGGTTACGTCCCGCTTCCCAGGACCGACCTGCTGCTACCAGCCTGCATCCCTGCTTTGTTCCCCAGCCACACCAACAGAGATGGGGCGCAGACACCCGAGGGAACCGAGAGGATCACAGCATCACAGAATGGCCAGGGTTGGAAGGGACCTCAAGGATGATGAAGCTCCAACCCCCTGCCA